GGATTCCGGAATCCAGGAATTTTGTGCTTGTGGAATCCGGAATCCTGGGCTTTGGAATCCGGAATCCAGCACTAGGGATCCGGAATCCTACTAAAGATTGGAATCCAGAATCCAACTTACTAAAGATCCACTCCTGATTGGATTGAGCGACTCGCTCGAAAGAAAAACCATCTATGGAAAGCCTCCCCAGGGTGTATGCCTCAACGTGATGACATACAGTGTAATATCGGCATATCTGGTGTCAAAACCATAGTTGACGAGCTCCATATGAAAGGTCAAGGTCACGGTCAGCGAGGGAAACCTTGCTTATGAGCGGCTGACAGGATCACAAAATTCGAGGGTTTTCGAGGGAATACAGCGCAGCCTTTTTAAGGTATAAATTGGATTGTTGTGAATAACTTCAACCTCTGGCTATGTTTGATTCTCTGTTGTTCACTGGCTTCGCTGAACTTAAAAAAATAAACCAAAAGCGATTTGACCTGGCATAGGACTGGAAAAGGTGCACCTGGGGTGAACCTTTTCTTGAACCTTCCTGGTCCTCTCCTGGTCCTCCTGGTTCCCAATTGAAAATAAACGTCCACTTTCAACATTTTACCAAAAAAGAAATTCACAGTCTGCTAGTCCCTAATTTGGTCCTAGTAGTTTCGGTCAGAACAGTTTCATGGTTTCGATAATCTTTATTTGAGAAATAAGCTAGGTACTGTCAGAACCGTACCAATCAGCTGTCACTAGAGTAATCACGTGCAAGGCCGCGGTGGGTGCCTCAGTTTCATTCATCCCCGGCATTCGAGTGAAATCTCGCCACCTCATCGATAAGACGAGCCTTTTGAAGTTTGTTGTCTGTTTGATTTTTCTTTTCTACTTTATTAAAAAAGAAAAAAAAAACGTTATGGGAAAGCACAAGTAAAAACAAAAGGCTGAGAGAGAAAGGCACGTGTAATACTGTGTTGTGAAATTTTATACCAATTTTTAGCTGACTGATAGATCTAAACGTGCCAAAGGCAAAGCTGCATGATTTTTCGTTTGTGTCGATCTGTGCACTGTAACGTGGCGGTAAGCAAGTCACAAACATGAACGAAAAATTGATTTTTTTCTCAATCATAATTGACATAATTGAATGTAATATGAAGTTTACGTCGTCCGTGGAGAAAATATCGTATAAATGAGCGCTATATGGTTGTAAAACGCTTAAAACTAGCCAACGCGTCAGAAACGCTTAAGTCTCTCTTCATCTCTCAGTCATCTCAGACTCGGTCGAGGAACAGACGGATTTTTCATGTTTTCTTTCCTACAGTTGTGCTCCTGAATAGGCCTCGTTCACATTAAGGTCGCTTTTGGAAATTAGACCGATCTGAGATCGGTTTAGTCCGTAACGTTTTTTTTGTTAAAAATGGATCCTAGAGACCCCAGACCATCTCAGAGACCCAGATCTCTTATTGACGAAGCCGAAGACGAGATCTGGTCAAATCCGATTATTGCCTGTCAGGAATGTGACAGGCGATGAAAGAGCGTATGCTCGAAATAAATCCTCAATTTTCGACGTCTTAAACAACGAATTTGATAGAGCCGTGAAGTTATTTTTCTAACAAAACGTGGTTATACGCACATCCTAAGTATGAACCAACTATTTTTTTGTTGTTTGTGTTCTTTTTATTTAACATCAAATTCAACGCGACAGTTAGTTTGAATTTCATTATCATTACGCGCGCTAAAACCTCAAAGCAGTACGCGTCAACTTCTACGCGAGAATTTTTTACCCTCAAGTCTTTATTGACACGGAGAGAGAGTTTTAAAAAGTCTTAAAGGATAAGATAAAAATGGTTTTCCAAGTTTTATTCAGACGGAAAACTACTCTTTAGTGAACGGAACCAAAGACTTTAATTTGCAAAGAATGAATTGCACACGCCACAGCGTATTTTTATTTGGCCAGTTACTAATAAAACGAGAAACCAGGCAAAAAGAGACAAAACGACCTAAACGATCCACAACGATCAAAAATAATCGACAAAAGATCCACAACGACCCAAAACAGGCCAAAACAAGTTCCACCCTCCTAGGAACGTCGGTTAAAATTGATTAAATAATAAATATTTCACTGCGTTTTCATACCCGGAGCGTAGGATGATCTGTATGGTCTTTTTATGCAAAAAGGGGTTCTTAGGGGTTCGTCACGGGAACACGTGACGAACCCCTAAGAACGTCTGCGTGGAAGGCTAGTAATTTTGTAATCGAAAAAGAAAACAAACTTGTCATGCCTTCTAATAACGTCTTTCAATATGGCAAGTGCGAAGAAAAGAATTAAAACCGGAAAAAAAATGAAATCCACCTCTTTTTGGAATCCGGAATCCACTGTGCTGGAATCCGGAATCCGGAATCCAGTACCCGGGATCCGGAATCCACAGCATGGAATCCAGAATCCAAGACTGTCCTGGATTCCCTTACATGGGGCGAATTCAACAAAGTTTTATTACACTGTTGACACTGTTGTCTCGCGCGGGCCCGTTTCTCGAAAGTCCCGGAAACTTTTCGGGCCCGGAAACAGTTGTTTTACATTTGCCGTGTTTGCATTCAACATCAAAGATTCAATAATTCTGAAAATGATACAATGAAACTATCAGTTAAGGACTTGACTGATTGTGAGGAACTATTCAACAGGTTTTGATTTTAAAATTTTGCCTTCGGCCCGTAAAATTTTCAGGCCTTTCGAGAAACAGACCCCAGGAACGGAAAATCACCAAAAAAAACACACACACAAACACATATCGCTGGCCAAAATAATGTGAATAACTTCCAGTCATGTAATTACGTTTCTTGATCTGTTCTTCAGTATTCTTCTTCTAGTTAGTGATTGCTTTCATAAGTTTTCCGACGAGCAGTCCATCATTTTTACCGGTTGGGAGCTCGCCGAAGGAGTTTCCTAGTCTTCCACAATGGTCGTCGTATTTTCCACCAATACGTCCCAAACGTTTCTACCTGGATCCAAAGTATGATTAATATTCTGGACTATTCTAATGTATGGTTGTAATTCTAGCACATAAATTTTGAGTCGCGTTGCCTAGTAAGTCCTCGTGCAATCCGGGATATTGACCATTTCGGAATCCCCCATAATACTCTCTTTATGTTTAGCCCCAAAATTTTGCATAATTTATTGTTTTCAAATGCTCTGGGGATAAGCAGTTATCCCACGAGAATTTGAAAATTAGCAATTAATGAATGAGGCCGAGTAGGATATGAAGAATTAACCAGATCGAGGAGGGTGTTATCCGTAGAGGCCGAAGGCCAAGGTTGGATAAAACATAGCTAAAACATGCTTACCTGCATCGATGTTAAGTTTATCTTCGATAGTGTACGTTTAGGTTTTTTCCAGCTCCGCAAATATTCTCCAAATAGCAGATGTCGCCCTCCGAGTTGTCTTCTTGCTGTTTTTGCAATGTTTTTAGCCATTAGTTCGCCTAGTTCCAGCTGTAGTTCTTACACTTGAAACGAGTGAAGTGTCCGCCATTTTAGTTTTGACAACGAAAACAACTCAATCTCGTCCCCAGGTCTTCTCGGTTAACGATGCATTAACCTGTAGAGGGCTGCATTTTTGACGTCATTTCCTCGTTAAACACAAAATTCTTCCAAAGTTGGTCATCATTAACTGCATGGTGAATTATGCGTGTGCTTTTAGCCATTCAGAATTGGGGAAATATTTTGAATGAATAATAACAATAGTTTATGTACAGATTGGTGGGCAAACAGAGTCTACTATGTGGAATTCGAAACTGACATGGAATTCCTATTTTCCGTACTGCATCAGGTCTAGAAATAACCAACAGAAATAAGGATTGTTGATTTTGACAGTGGGAGAGAAATAATAAATTTTATTCACAAAGTTTCTATTCACGCTGGGAAAAAAAGTGCTAAAAATCGGCCACAAAATGTGTCCAAAGTTTGTTTAAAAATATGCTGGAATGTTACAAATATCTCTTAAACTATAGAAGATAATGAGTTGAGACTTTCGCTTTGTATTTGTCTTAAGTTTTTCTTTCAAATTCTCCATTTTGGGGGTTAGTACTGCGCATGACCAAAAATCCCATTTTGTGACGTCATCAGTTGTGACGTCACAAAAATGAAATTTGAGATTTCAAATCGGATAAGTTCTTCAATTTTATGTGCACTATATTTCTGCCAAGTATCACACTTTCAGGTTTAATTCTCGTGGAGGAGAAGTCTTTGGGAGTTTTGATTTTTTAATTGGCCACTAGAGGGTCACGTCACCAACAAAACGCCTATTCCAAAATTTTTCTGGAGTCAAGTATTGTTGCCTGTATTAATTTCAGTGTCATGCCTTTAAAGGAAAGGAAGTTATAGCCCCAAGAACTCCAAAAATGTTTGTGCCTATCACCCCCCCCCCCCCCCCCCCCCCCCCCCCCCCTCTTCTTTCTCCCCCCTCCTTCCCCCCCCTCTCTTTTTTTTTTTTTTTACTTCGTCTCTTCAACAACAACCTAACCACACAACCAACACCACAAAACACAAACTACAAAAAAAAAAAAACACAACACTCCAACTCCCCTTTGTTCAATCTATCACCATACC